GCTCTGACCGGCTTTAAAGGGTTAAAGGCTTCAAAGACTGAATGTGAAATGAATTTCAGAGGCAGCGCTATTGCATACTGAGCCAATCAGACTTGGATGTGAACAGGTACAAATTTACTTTAGGTGGACTAAATTAGGGCAAATTAACATCCCCGAGTTGATACAGTTTCTAATTTGAGTAAAAAAAAGCGCTTATTCCATATTTGCACACAAGGAAATGCAGCAAGTTTGGAGGGAAATCCCAAAAAAATATGTTTCTGCAGAGTTTTACATTTTGCATTCCTGCACAGTCCAGTAGACAAATTTATATTGCATGATGTTAAAGGTTGGACTGCAGGCAGCAGTATGGAGCACATGCATCTCAGTTTTGTTTCCTGTGTGCAAAATGTGTGGTAGCTTGCTGCTTGCAGAACATTACTTTGTATACTGTGTATGAATCTATATTGTCTGTGCAACATTAGACTTTTTATCTACGCAGTTATATATTTGAAAAAATGGCAGAACAGAAAAGATTAAGTGTGATTAAGAGTTAACAGAACAGATGAGGAGCTTCTACGCGCTCACATCGGGGACACAAATGCATGCACAACACAATAAACAGCATTTATGTCTCCAGAGCCGATTCCCCACAGCGCATCTCATTTATTTTTGCGGTGTCAGTCACTTCCTGCCTCACGGCTCAATGTTGGCAGCAGGCCTCAATCAGATTCTTATTGATGCTGCCAGGAGGGCTTCCTGCTAAAGACTGCATCGTGATCAGGGTTACCCTTGAAGAAGTGCTGGGCAGGCATACCAGTGTGTGTGTGTGTGTGTGTGTGTGTGGGGATCATTATTGTGTCAGAGCTCACACTGTAATCTTTCAGACACAAACACTCTGTTTAAGGATAGTGCTGGTCCAGCCTAGATTACTGTGTCTCTTCAGCCCATGGTATTGTTGTTTCACAGATTACCCTCTTACTGCCTTATACTGCCGGGCTTCGTGCATTTATCTGAAGAGAGACCAACATTGATTTTTTCTCTTTCCTTTCTTTTCTCCCTTTTTATTCATCCAAAGCCTGTTTAAAAAGAAACCCACTGTGAACCATTCACAGTCATTTAGGGCACACAGAAGCGAAACACAGTGTTCTTAAGAATGTGGATTCTCACACGTGCACTGATGGTCCTTTTGTCCCGCGAGCCAACAGCTGCTACAAAGGCAAATAGGAGAGAGATGTCGGCATAAAAGGCCCGATTCTCACTCGTAAACAAGCGAGAGATGGTGGAATTTAAATTGCTTCAGCTTTACTGGGAAATCCTGAGGCGGTGTGAGCAGTTTCAAAAAATCTTGACCTGAAATACACAAGGCCCCGTGATCACAAACGACTGCTTGTTATTCGCCGTCGTCCACGTCTAGACTTAGGACGGCAGATAAGACACACTCGGAAGCTCGCACGCAGACAATAGCCAATCAGACGGGGTTTAATCATGTGAGGCAGTCATGCAGTTTGGAGAAAAGTTATTCTGTGTGATGTGGACACCACTGAAAAAAGTCCAGTTCCTACTGGAGCACAAAACAACCAAGAGTATAAGGAAATGACTAACTACTGGGCAGAACAGCTGGCCTCAACTAACTGAAACGATCAGGGGGCGCAATAGCTGTGTCCCAATTCAGGGTCTGCACGCTTGAAGTACGCATTTTAAGTGTGATTAC